GGAGTATCAAAGTCCAGAGGGTGTTGTTTTGGACCTTGAAAGGTTGCAAAGAGATTTTCGTTGTCAATGAACGTTGTTAGTGCAGAGTTACTCTCCATGATTGGATAATTGGAGAGCATAATTGGCCAGCCATGATTTTAAATCGACGTTAGTATTGTAAAGAACTAGAAGAATCCCGGATTACAGACTTTTTTTTTCCAATCGAGTCTCTTAACTGCTAGAATGTAACTACGACTTTTCGTTCAATATTCCTGTGATGGTGTAAAATGACTAAGTCTCTGGATTGAGAATGCTCACGAAATAGAGAAGTAGAAAGGTAAAGTAATGACACTGTTCCACGTAGTAATGAAGGTAGGTTTGTGTAGATTATAACAAATTTATATCAACTTCCGATCAAAGCAAGCGACATACTTAGAGGAAACAAAAAAAAATCAGCCTGGTTGGTAAGTAGCATAGCAAAATAAATATAATTTTCTTACGTTAGTGCTTATAAAGATTATAATGTATCATTTCATCAGTTAGATACTCTCGTTGTTAATGATATTTCCAGCCGTAAGCCTAGTAATATCTCACGAGGTTCTGCCAGCTTAAGAGATTTAGGTTTCTCCTACATCCATATATTAAACTAGAATATAGAACAATCTCTTTAACAAAAGTATAAAAACAAAAAGTACAAATAATAAAATAACATATATTAAATTTTTCCTAATCAATATTTTTAATGAAAGTAAAATAAAGAAATAGTGCAGTATGCCTTATTTGGGGAACACACAAGCATTGGCTGTTAGCTTAAAGTACAATCATCTTACTATGTCCGACGTAGCGTGTATAAATGTATCTATCTAGATATGTGACCGAAATAATAAGTACAATCGTAGATTTAATGTTTGTTGGGTTAATGGTTGAAAAATACAATCATAGCTTTTATGTTCGTTGGCTTAATGATTGGAAAATACAATAATATATTTCATATTCGTTGGCTTAATGGTTGGAAAATACAATAATATATTTAATGTTCATTGATTTAATGGCTGGAAAATACAATCACAGATTTAATGTTCGTTGACCTTAATGGTTGGAAAATACAATAATATATTTCATATTCGTTGGCTTAATGGTTGGAAAATACAATGATATATTTAATGTTCGTTGGCTTAATGGCTGGAAAATACAATGATATATTTAATGTTCATTGGTTTAATGGCTGGAAAATACAATCACAGATTTAATGTTCGTTGTCCTTAATGGTTGGAAAATACAATAATATATTTCATATTCGTTGGCTTAATGGTTGGAAAATACAATCATATATTTAATGTTCGTTGGCTTAATGGCTGGAAAATACAATGATATATTTAATGTTGATTGGCTTAATGGTTGGAAAATACAATCATAGATTTAATGTTGGTTGGATTAATGGTTGGAAAATAAAATCATATATTTAATGTTGATTGTCTTAATGGCTGGAAAATACAATCACAGATTTAATGTTCGTTGACCTTAATGGCTGGAAAATACAATCATATATTTAATGTTCGTTGGCCTTAATGGCTGGAAAATACAATCATATATTTAATGTTCGTTGACCTTAATGGCTGGAAAATACAATCATGTATTTAATGTTCGTTGACCTTAATGGCTGGAAAATACAATCATATATTTAACGTTCGTTGGCTTAATGGCTGGAAAATACAATCATATATTTAATGTTGGTTGGATTAATGGTTGTAAAATACAATCATATATTTAATGTTCGTTGGTTTAATGGTTGAAACATCCCAGGAGATGCAAGAAGTAATTGCAGTTTCGAGCTTTTAAGAAAAATAGTTCAGAAGTTACATTTTTCGTTTGGATATGGTAAGAAGTCCAGTCTGCATCACGGTAACTCAAGAGTCCTTCCAGTCTATTATCCCACGTATGCATTTCTAGTGTCTAGGAATGACCTCTTAGCCAGTGACATGTAACATACAAAAGATTTTTAAATGCTATTTTTTATCCACCTCTGATTTTGAATCCTAAATGGACAAATTAAGATAAACATTCACAGTTTACTTAATTTTTATCACAATATTTTAACCTGTTGATTTCTACTGCTTCACCAACTTTTCAGCGCTTAAACTGTAACTTTTAAAGTGTTTAGTTTTTGTTCGTATGCAACGTAACCCATTCATGATTAAAATGAAACTTCACAATATTAACAACGCTGCATTGAGTTTGATAGTTCATCTGGTCGTGGTTAGCTCTTTTGTTTGTAGTTGTAGTTTTAAGATATCGATGGCAGAAAAATTTAGATACTTGGACTGTTTTAACTCTTAATATTATAAGCGTTATTTAGCAAACTGTTTATTTTGCTGAAGGAAATAACGTCGTTCGTTTTTTTAGGGATAATTGCATGAATTGATCGTTCCATTACTGAACGTTAAGGAATGAACTTTACAATCCTTTAATTCACATCTGGGATCTGAAAACAACAAGTTTACAATAACAGAAACAAATTGCGTATTCTAAAAAAGCCATGAATAGTAAAAAAGTCATGAATATTAATGACCCAGTGGGAAGGATGATCCGACATTTTGGAAGATTTCCAACGGTGTATGGAACACGTCAAAACACCTCTTTGATAGCCAATTTGTACGGACGTCGCACATTACACTTTATTCAGATTGCTAGCCATCAAGTTATATGCATGTAGGTGACGCCAACTGTAATCTAAAAACTTTCTGATGCTCAATTCCGATTGCTAGCCATTAAGTTATATATATGTAGGTGACGCTAACTGTAATCTAAAAACTTTCTGATGCTCAATTCAGATTGCTAGCCATTAAGTTATATATATGTAGGTGACGCCAACTGTAATCTAAAAACTTTCTGATGCTCAATTCAGATTGCTAGCCATTAAGTTATATATATGTAGGTGACGCTAACTGTAATCTAAAAACTTTCTGATGCTCAATTCAGATTGCTAGCCATTAAGTTATATATATATATATATGTAGGTGACGCTAACTGTAATCTAAAAACTTTCTGATGCTCATCTACCCTGTAGTCATATTTAATGACTATCTGATAACACTATACGATATCGTTACATCTCTTGAACTCAAGAAATTAATTCACTGTCGACACGTTAGTAAACGTATACAAAGACGTGTACAAACACTGCTTTTTGAATTATTTTTTACATAATATCTACTCTCTTCAGTATTGCAGAAGAGGATAAACTACTGAACGCTAACTTTTATCATTGTTGTTTGCCATTTTTTAACGCTTTCCTTGATCCGAGGGTGCTTATAGTCTTATTACCCATTTCGAAGAACAATTTTTCACTAATGAGCGTGGATATTTTCCTGAAATGAATGTTGACATCGACATAGCCTTTTTTTTTATTATCCGTCTTAAGTGGATGAAGCCTCCATCGACTTTTCGTTTCATTTGCCTGATAGCTAACAGTGCTAACTAAATCAGATATAAACTCAAACTCTCGAAAATCTTATCAGTTCTTACTTCAGTTCTCTGATAAGCTGATTTCATTGGGCCACTGCCATATCAGAGCGTTGTAATAGAAGTGTATTCATTTATGTCTAGTGTACCAAAATCTCTGTCTTACTGGATGAATCTTACACATAGGTTTCGAAAGTCATAAGAAACATATAACTTGAGATATTCAAGTAGTCCTAACACCATCTTTCTTAATCTTTAACTACTATTTCAAGGTTAAAGTTGGACAGAAAAGGTTCCACAATACAGTTTTATTGGGACTTTCTGATGTATTTTGAATGCTCGGTTCCTCATAGTTATTCCATACTCTGCCTTATTTAATATGTTTCCTTCCCTGCTGGAAAGTAAGTTAAACATTTCTCCATTGACAGGTCCAGCCCCAGCTGTTGTGAAAGAATGTCTTTAGATGCATTTGATCTAAAACCTTTAGTTGTTTTTTTTCTCTTACTACCAGCCACTCTCTGTCCTAAGTGTTTAGCATTACACTGAACTCAGGTGTGTATGATAGTCAACTTACAGTACGTGTTTACTTTATCGACTAAGTCGTGTTTTATAAACAACTTAGTGTCAAACATACAGCATGTACTCCGTTCTTATTCTCAATTTTTAATACTCAGTCTCAATGGAACAGACTCCCATTGAGTTTGATTGTTTAATATAACTTGGTATTAAAATAGGATTCCTCCCTCCACCTTCCCACCCACCCAAAAAATAGATGTATTTAATTTTATCATTTTTTTCCCATGGCTCTCAAGTTTACAATGGATCGTCTACTGTTCCATCGTTAATACATCGCTTCAGTCAGTTTCTTTCTCACTAACTTTGTTTTTTATTCTCTTAATCTGTCATCTCAAGTCCCTTTGATATATAATGTTCTAGGTCACATACATGATTTTCTCTCTCTCTCCTTCTCTTTCGTCTTGACTAAATCTAACACTTAAACATTTCTGAGAAACTTATACTTTTAACTTATGTTTTTACCGTTATCGAAAATTTTCGGGCTGATTATCGGAAACTATCAGGCTGATGATACTGAACTTGGTCACCTCGTATATGTGCACTCCTACTGGACAATCTGATAGAATGTATATGGTGAAAAGGTTGTATACAGAGCTATTATATATCGGTGATGAATGAACCTCGAGCCAGATTAAATCTTGACCTCTGCACTAGTACTAGTAGCAGTAGTTTAAAGAGGATAAAAGATACTGAAAATTGAAAATCTTACCATGTGAAATGATTAAAACCTTGTTCTCATGTATTATGTTTTAACATAGATGTAATACTGAAAATGATAATCTTTGCATTCTAGATATTTTTGAATCAGTAGGTGGAAAATATCAGTTTAAGGACTGTTGAAATGAATACATAGAAACACATTAATTGTATCAGTTTAAGGACTGTTCAAATAAATACAGGAAACACATTAGTTGTATCAGTTTAAGGACTGTTGAAATGAATATATGGAAACACACTAATTGTATCAGGTTAAGGACTGTTGAAATGAATACATGGAACACACTACTTGTATCAGTTTAAAGACTGTTCAAATGAATACATGGAAACACACTAATTGTATCAGTTTAAGGACTGTTGAAATGAATACATGGGAACACACATACAATTACAGTTTAAAGACTGTTCAAATGAATACATGGAAACACACTAATTGTATCAGTTTAAGGACTGTTGAAATGAATACATGGAAACACACTAATTGTATCAGTTTAAAGACTGTTGAAATGAATACATGGAAACACACTAATTGTATCAGTTTAAGGACTGTTGAAATGAATACAAAGATGAATAGAAATGTTTCAAGTATTTTACCATTATTCTCCCAGAATTCACTTTTCTGAGTGATGTCAGATGAACATGTATATATATAACAGTCAGAGTTTTCTAAAGAACAGATTAAGTTTCTTTACACGGTAGTTTTATAAATCATTGATAAACAAATAGAAGTGTGTTAGTAACTACTTGTTCTATAACTGATTTATACTCGTATTATGACCAGTCTTATTTCTTAAGTATATTCTATGCATTGTTAGTACGTACTAATGTTAGAAGTATTATCAAACTCAAATAACTCTTATCAAAATTACATGTCATTGATAAACAAATAGAAGTGTGTTAGTAACTACTTGTTCTATAACTGATTTATACTCGTATTATGACCAGTCTTATTTCTTAAGTATATTCTATGCATTGTTAGTGCGTACTAATGTTAGAAGTATTATCAAACTCTAATAACTCTTATCAAAATTACATGTCATTGATAAACAAATAGAAGTGTGTTAGTAACTACTTGTTCTATAACTGATTTATACTCGTATTATGACCAGTCTTATTTCTTAAGTATATTCTATGCATTGTTAGTACGTACTAATGTTAGAAGTATTATCAAACTCAAATAACTCTTATCAAAATTACACCGTTTTACACAATCTATTGACTATAAAAATGAGTTTAAACCTTAAATATATTTGAGCTTGAGCTTCAATATTTACGTAGATTATATAACACCAATGTGCTTAACTGTGCTTGATTTTTTGGTAAACTCGAACTTTATAGATATACATATATAATTATTATCGTCCTCATACTTCATATATGTATTCATTAGGTTGTTGACTTGCTCAATGATCTGTACACCTGTTTCGATTCAATCATTGAAAACTTCGACGTGTATAAGGTAAGATATGATCGTATAATAGCTTGCTACAATTAACAGCTACTGTAGATATATACTTACTGATCTGGCAGTATATATATATATATGTGTGTGTGTGTATATATATACATACGATACATATTGATCTGGTAATATATATATATTTATATATATATGTGTGTGTGTGTGTGTGTATACATGCGATACGTATTGATCTGGTTGTATATATATATATATATATATATATATGTGTGTGTGTGTGTATATATACGATACATATTGATCTGGTTGTATATATATATATATATATATATATATGTGTGTGTGTGTGTATATATACGATACATATTGATCTGGTTGTA